CAGACAGCAGTAATCAATGGCTCCATGTCTAGTTGGCAGCTGGTATCAAGTGGAGTGCCCCAGGGGGTCAGTCCTGGGGCCAGTTTTGTTCAGTGTCTTCATTGAGGACTTGGGAGATGGCATAGAGTACACCCCTCAGCAAGTTTGCAGATGACACCAAGCTGGGGGGAGTAGTAGATACGCTGGAGGGTAGGGCTAGGATTCAGAGTGACATAGACAAATTGGAGGATTGGGCCCAAAGGAATCTCATGAGGTTCAACAAGGACAAGTGCACTCAGGACTGAACAATCCCAGGCACCAGTACAGGCTGGGGGGTGACTGGCTGGGCAGCAGCTCTACAGAGAAGGACCTGGGGGGTTACAGCAGACAATAAGCTGAATATGAGCCAACAGCATGCCCTTGATGCCAAGAAGACTAACAGCATACTGGGCTGCATTGGTAGGAGTCCTGCCAGCAGGGTCAAGGAAGTGATTATTCCCCTCTATTCAGCATTGATAAGGCTACATCATCGTGTTCAATTTTGCCCCCCCCCCCCCGCTACACAAAGAATTTGGACAAACTGGAGAGAAACCAGTGGGAGGAAATGAAAATAGTGAGGGGACTGGGACACATGATTTCTGAGGAGAGGCTGATGGAACTGGGCTTGTTTAGTCTAAAGACTGAGGGGATTTAATAGCAGCCTTCATTTACCTGAAGGGGGGTTTGAAAGAGGATGGACCTAAGCTGTTCTCAGTGGTAGCAGATGACAGAAAAAGCAGCAACAATCTCAAGTTGCAGCAAGGGCAGTTTAGATTAGATATCAGAAAGAATGGTCTTACTAGGAGAGTAGTAAAACACTGGAACAGGTTACCCAGAGAGGCTGTTGACTCTCCAACCTTGGAGGTTTTGTAAGACCTGGCAAGAGAAAGCCTTGGCTGGGAGGATCCTGCTTTGAGAAGGGGGTTGGACCAGATGACCTTCTGAGGTCCCTTCCAACCCTAACTTCCTCTGATTCTATGCATTGTGTGCACAGTTTGACAGATTTCTGTGAGACTTGCAGCAGTGACTTGAAATGGCTGGAAGACATCAGAGATGGGGAATCCAGATGAAAGCAGTAATATGTATTGGGCATCTTTTGTCTATCTGGTTCCTTTACTAAACATTTTTTTCTACCAGCAGCTATGACCAAGCACGAGGGATATTCTTGGATCTGTGGGCTTTTGTGAGCCCAATTAAGTAGACAGGAGCCCACTCTGGAGCAAGGCTGGTAAAACAGTGCATCTCCTTAGGCTGGTAGAAGGGGAAGGGGAGAGAGTGGGAAGAGTACAGCTTCCCCAGAGTAGGAATGCCCAGATGGTTGGTTGGGGAGCTCTCAGGCAGCTTCTGTGCAGCACGGCAGGCTCACTGGCAAATTTTAGACATCTTAGACTAGAAGACCTGAACCATGCTGCCTCCAGGTGACCCCC